AAAGAAAGCTATCAGCAAGAAAAGGAGGGTGTGAAGGAGAAATAATCCCACATTACCCTCAGTCAAGCACTGGAGATTTTTAAGAGCCAAGGTGGCGCAGTGGTTAAATGCAGCACTGCAGGCTACTTCAGCTGACTGCAGTTCTGCAGTTTGGCTGTTCAAATCTCACCGGCTCAGGGTTGACTCAGCCTTCCATCCTTCCGAGGTGGGTAAAATGAGGACCCGGATTGTTGTTGGGGGNACATACATACATACATACATACATACATACATACATACACATACATACATGGCTTTGTATATGAAGAACACTTATTTCCATGTAAACTATGTCAAGTTAAAAGCAATGCAGAAGATAGGTGAGCCAATGTAACTGTTTGTTAGTTTCATTAAACAATTACTTTTTTATGAATTCAAATCTAATCGAAAGAATATTAAAGTTAGGGTTGAAAACTGCATTCTACTATGTAAGCTATAACCTAATATTTTAAGCAATGTTTCTAATGGGAAAGATTCAATCCTTAGTGAAGATGCCAGGACTGTATGTTGAACTTTCAACATGGAAAGCATCAGTTCTTACATCAAATCATAACATCACAAGACCATGAAGAAAAGTAGAAGATGTATAGTCATTATTAACACATATATTCTGAATGCACTAATTTAAACCATAGCTTATGAAAAATGAAATTACATCAATATTTGCAAGTAAACAACCAAGCTCAGAGAGCTTCAAGGACTTCATAATTACATCATATAAGTTATACATATAGTGCATTTGTTCTTTAGCAATATTCCCTTAAATAAATTACAGTAGCAATCAGTGCACTGTTGGAAGACTTGAATGAACATATTAAGGACAGATCATCAAGGGAAAAAACTCTACATGTGTTGTGGCTGGGAGTCAAAAATTACTTAATGGCATATAATCAATCAATCAATCAAATATTGCCTTAAATAAATAATTGTACAAGTTTAGTCAGCTTTAACTGAAATCTTAATTCAAACACATCTTTATTAATCCTTTAGCACAGATTCATTTTGGCAATCAATTGAAAAGGAAATTAAAATTGAGATTGCATGGCAAATATTTATTTAGTGCCTTCCTTCTTTGAACACAGAAAAGGCAATAATAGAACATTCTCTAGTACAGCAAATGGTGTCCAAGTCCAGAAAATAAAAGAGAGATTGGTACTGGAATAAATTTAAGGAGTCACATCTCACACTTTCCTTAAACTGCCTATAAATTATGCAACAATGAGATACTATCAGAAACCTAAAACTGTGTCTGAATTTGGGAACCTTAACCTTTTAATTTGGAAGAAAGCTTTCACTAAGGAATTATATAAGGTAATAATTCTGCTTTTATCGTGTTTTATGGAGCCATCATTTTGTCTGTTGTATTAATAGCTATTAATCCCATGACATGAATACTTCAGATGCATAAATGTCCATCAACTGACATTTTACATTAAGGAAAATATAACCCGCAGGGAAGCAAACTATCAAGAATGAAAATGAGCGTTTCCAGATAAGCACGAATTCACACCATTATCCTCACATCCCATTGGTTTATTTAAAAATACCCCAAACGTGACATTTTCAGCATAATGTAAAAGAATCCTTTGTGGATCAATACAAGAGAGGGTCTAGAATATGAGGCAGATTTTTTATTCTTCCATTCCTCCTCTGACTTTACTGCCAAGACCACAGGTGCATGCCATTAAGGGAGCAACTTTATATTTTGTTCAGATGCAATACTATTTTTAGGATTGCACTGTTATTGCCTTCTTCCCTCTGATCACAGCTGGAAAGCAAAAGCAGCACACTCTGCAATAAAGCTGCTGAGATGATGCAAGGTGTTTGTTGTTTCTGAGGAAAAGTCAGAATATCTGAAAAGGAAGATCTGCTGTCATGTGGCAAACAGCTTTTAGCACTGTCAAAGGCGTAAAAATGCATTCCTGTTCATCTCAGTTTTGTAATACAGACAAGGAGCAGAGCTGCATTATTAAAATTACACAGGAGAATCATTTGCTGGAGGCATTTTCATGGAGAATGTAAGTTGTATTATAGTTACATAGAGCAAAGCAACTTGATGACAGTGATGAGTGTAATATGATGATGAGGAAAAATAACAATCCTGTAAAGGTTCTTAGTTTTAAATCATCCTTCAAAAATTAACTGAGTCACTTGTCTACACATCAGTTAGAAGGAAATTAACTAGCGAGACAGACCAAATACTGAATGCTAAGACAGTGAATGATAAATACTGAATGATAAGACAGTGAAAGGGTTGGCAAAAATTAAATAAGAACGTGCAGAGGAGGTTGAATGAATTATTTGCAACTGTCTTTTCAGGAAGAAAGAGGAAAAAGGCAAATATTGCCATGAGGTGAACTAGGATCTAAAACCTAGATTTTACTGACAAACTGAAGACAACATAGATTTTACTGACAAACTGAAGAAAATCACCAGGTCCACATAAGAGTCAACTATACATTCTTCAAAAATGTGAATGTAAAATTCTGAATTGTTCAATAAAACAGGCAACATGCCCTTCTTTATATGGAAAACTGAAAAGTGGCCAGTGTTAACATCCATTTTAAAAAAGGAATGGAGAAGAGATCAAGAGAACTACAGACTGACTGGCTTAAGTGTCTGTTTTAAAGCAAATTGAGGGGAGAAATTGCAACATGGGGGGACATTGGTTCAAAGTGGTCCAAGAAATTGGAACATTGGGAAGAGGACTAGTCCCAGAAACTGGTGCTAGGAGATTGTTGCTAAGGGGATGGAACATACAATAAAGAGCAGTTTTAAAAAGCAATTGGAGAAAGGAGGAAGAAGAGGAAAATTGTGTCCTCTGTGGATCCAGAAATGAATCAACATCATTATCACCATTCCAGTAAGAATAAAGCAATGCAAGGGGGCAGGTTAAAAATGCTATGGATGTGCAGGAGCTTTTGACCAAGCTAAGAGTTAAAAGAAAAGTGTAGAAAATGGTAGATGGGTGAAATCATCAAGCAGAAATACCAGCAAGGGCCTCATACCTGGAAAAAGAGAGTCAGAAAGGCAAACATGCCAAAGGAACTTAGGTTGAAAGATCCCCAAAAGGGGTGCTTTGGGGTTAAAAAGGAATTTTAAAGCAAATTTTAAAAAATGTAAATGCTCCTCATATAATATAGTGGGACTGTCAACCCCGAAGTTGGCTGAACTCTGGCCATTTTCTTTGTGGCAACTTTCTCTAGGAAGGTTTCTCTTTTCACTGCTTCAGGGCTGACACAGCCTAGAGCGAATGGCCAGGGAGGGGTATGTGTGTAGAGATAGCTGAGGTATTGTAGCCTAAATAAAATTCTTTCTTCTTCTAATCAAGGACGTTGGTGCAGGTGTTCAAAAGATGGAAAATGAGGTTACTTAGCAACTGGACTGTATGCTGATTGGATCATGTGACTGGAGACTCTGGAGGGGGGAGTGACTACGTTTTAGCTTTAATTGGGTATAAAACCAACGGGAACTTAAAGCCGGTTTTCCACCGAGAATGTGCCAATTTGATATATCTCAATAAAATGTTATTTGAGGAATTGCCTGCCTCGGAGTTCTTATTGAATAGGGTGTACTACTTGGAATCTTGACAGGGATATTAACAGGTGATGGGAGTATACACTTTGCTTCAGTCTTGCCCTGTAAAAGGAACTATGTTCCAGGACCTCAAGGCAGAAACAACAAGAAAATATAAGCAAAGAGTAGTAGATACGCAAAGAGACAGGAAGCTGCCATAAATATGTCCTCAGGACAGTGGTGGGATTCATTTTTTTTACTACAGATTCTGTGGACATGACTTGGTGGGCGTGGTAGGGAAAGGATACTGTAAAATCTCCATTCCCACCTCACTCCAAGAGAAGGTTACTGCAAAATCCCCATTTCCTCCCGATCAGCTGGGACTTGGGAGGCAGAGAATATATGGGGGCAGGGCCAGTCAGAGGTAGTATTTACCAATTCTCCGAACTACTCAAAATTTCTACTACCAGTTCTCCAGAACTGGTCAGAACCTGCTGAATACCACCTCTGCCTCAGGACCAACTCATTTATATCCAAGAGTCTTGAAAGACCTTGAAGGATGCCACCTCAGGGTCCTGTTCTATGAACTCTGAAACTCACAAAAGATGGGGATAATTCCAGAGGATCAAGGAATGGGAAATATTGTTCCTGTCTTTAAAAAAGGAGAAAAAAGAGGACCCAGGCATATGATCAGCTTGATATTGATACATGGTTTATGTAATGTAAGCATTACTTGGCAGGCACCCGCATGGAATTATCAATGTTCTTTGATCTTAAAAGATTCAACCAGATTGCCACCAGATTTTTATGAGGCAGAATGGCTCTGAGCGACAGTGATGTGGATCTTGTGGGAGGAAAGAGTTCAGCATATTGCTGATTTTTCCATAAAAAAAGACACCGAGAGGGCACAGCTGCTAAAACTGAGAATATCAATAATGAATAAAGAAGAAATATAATTGTTAGGGAAAGCAGACAAGATACAACCCTGATCCTTAAAAATAGGATTTTAATATATGAAATTTCACTGCTTTCTCTACGTGACTAGATTGTTCTCAGGGCTTTGTTTATCAGAACATGTGATTTTTAGATATCACATGTCGTTTAAAGATAACATTATAAACCATCCAGAAGGACAAGTCTGGCTAAAAAACACTTGGATATGTTTTAAAAAAATTGTTTTTAAATAAAGTAAACAATTAAATGATTATTCCAGTTGATGAAAACAAACAAAAACCATAAAGAATTCAAAAAAGGGTCTCCCCAAACTGGGGCTAAATTGATTCATGCAGTTCATATAATCAAATATAAAGGGATACACATGAACTAAAGGAAAGTCCACCTTTACATATATATTGGTGGAAAACCATCAAAAGCATGAATTGCAGAGAGTGTGGAACCACTTGTTTTTCAACCTGTGCTCCTTTGTCTCTTTGCTTACTACTTACTTTCCTTCTGATCCATAGCTGTTCATACTGTCCTCAATGGATTCGTGACTGGCTTGCCGGATAGTTCGACTTGGCATTTCAACAGCAAGTCCAGTTTCTGTACTTCGCTGGATAGCACCTTTGAGTTTCCGGCCATCTCCTTCTAAAGCAAAGAGGAAGAGAGTGGGGGGAAGGGAAAGCAAGGAGAGACGGAGGGAGGGAGGGAGGGAGAGAGAGAGAGAAAGAGAGAGAGAGAGAGAGAGAGAGAGAGAGAGAGAGAGAGAGANTATCTATCTATCTATCTATCTATCTATCTATCTATCTATCTATCTATCTATCATCTGTTTATGTCCATATCTATCTATCTATCTATCTATCTATCTATCTATCTATCTATCTATCTATCATCTATCTAAATTAATTAATCAGTGGAACAGAAGTTGCCTCCAGAAGTTGTGAATGCCCCAACAATGAAAGTCTTTAAGAAGATGTTGGCCATTTGTCTGGAACGGTATAGGGTTTCCTGCCTAGGCAGGGGGTTGGACTAGAAGACCTCCAAGGTCCCTTCCAACTCTGCTATTGTATTGTATTGTATTGTATTGTATTTATCATCTCTTTTGACCCATCTACCATTAGTGTCAGCAATTTGAAGATTCCTGGACTAATAAAGCTGCCTACAGATGCAAATAGTTCAGTTCTCCTGTGACTCATCTCAACATATGTTTGACTAACTTTTAAAGGGTCACATTTAGTTCAACTTTTTTTAGATTTTTGCTGAACTTCCTAACTCAGTTAAACTAGTACGGTTGGATAAAATCCCTGTTTACTTCCACAGGCTTTGTGCCTAATCTCAGCTACAGCTGCTAAACAAATAGTATTTCCCTCAAGGCATCCCTAACAAGCCCTAGAATTTTGAAATGTCAAAATCTGGCACAAATGAGGTATGCCCAGGAACAAAAATAAATTAAGGAAGCCGACACAGTCTATCAAGATGAAGACAACACCCTGAGCATCTGTAAACAGCAGAGAAAGCAAAACCGTAAAAGCTTCAGCGGTGTTACTTTTCCATAAAAAAGGCGGGGGATTGCAAAAGACTTCCTCCCTCCTGAAGAAAATGAGCAATAGGAAAAATCAGGATACAAGTAGTCCTTGAATGGTTTATCAACCATTCAAAGATACAAGGGCACTGAAAAAAAGTAACCTATGACCAGACCTTGTACTTATGACCATCTCAACGGTTCATATGATCAAAGTTTGGACACTTGGCCACCAGCATGTATTTACGATGATTGCAGCTTCCCAGGGCCATGTGATCACTATTTGCCTCCTTCCCAGCCTATTTCTGACTAGCAAAGTCAGTTGTGGGGGCAGATAGTTTGCATTCAAGTTTGGTCATAAAAAAGATGTAGTGACTCCTGGAACAAGTGCAGAAAAAAGCCACAAAGATTATTAGGAGGCTGGAGGTTAAAACATATGAAGAACAGTTGCAGACATTGGGTTTGTCTAGTCTAGTGAAAAGAAGGACTAGGGGTGACATAATAGCAGTGTTCCAATATTTGAGAAGCTGCCACAAAGAAGAGTGGGTCAACCTATTTTTCCAAAGCATCAGAAGGCAAGACAAGAAACAATGGATGGAAATTAATCAAGGAGAGAAACAACCTAGAACTAAGGAAAAACTTCCTAACAGTGAGAACAAATAACCAGTGGAACGGCTTGTCTTCAGAACTTGTGAGTGCTCCATTATTGGTAGCTTTTAAGAAGAGTCTGGACAACCACTTATCTGGAATGGTATAGGATCTCCTGCTTGAGCAGGGCATTGCACTAGAAGACCTACAAGGCAGTGGTGAGTTCCTATCGGTTTGGACCAGTTCAGCCAAACCAGTAGTGGTTTAGCGTCCTGGGTCACTAGAACTGGCAGTGGCCCAGGCCTGCCACGCCCCTGAAACCCTTCCCCGGGGGCCGCCATTGTTTTTCAGTTCTGTGCATGCGCAGAACAATTTTAATTGTACTGTGCATCAAGTGTGCACAGCGTGCACACAATCAAACCGGCAGTAGTGCCTAGCGGAACCCACCCTTGCTCCAAGGTCTCTTCCAACTGTCATTCTGTTACGTTCTGTTACTTATAATGGTTTGGCAAATAAGGTGCAAAAACCTTCCCTTAGAATTTATTGTTTTACTCAATTTAAACCTCAAATCTGAGTGGGGTTCCAAAAGGAACAAGAATGAGGGTTATCATTTATTATTATAAATAATATGGTGGAAAACTGAGGATGAAAAATAGGATGAGGCTCAAACTAGAGCCTTTCCTGCCAGGAAAAGATTATGAACAGGCAGACAACAGAGCCTCATTGTGATGCAGAACTATAGTACTAAGGGGTTGAAATGTGATAAATTAAATTAGCATTTAGAAGAAATGAATGGCATGCCATGATGAATGCCAAATGCCATTTATTATTTCATGTCACATAACACCTGCAATTGGTGAGTGACAGAAGGCATTTAATTCACCATGGCTAACAACTGGGTGGGCTACAGTAAGTCTACAGCAATCATAAATAGCAGTCTTGGACCTACCTTTCAAGGGTTTAAGGATTTCGGCTTCAGTTTGAGTCAAGAGACAGACTCCAATGTATTTAAATCAAGCCCTCTTGGGTCATTGGCTGTCCACAAATATTATTCCAACCCTAATCACACTTTCCTTTTATATTGCCCTTGGAAAGTTTTAAAAGAAGGCAGTTGCTCTCAGCTGCTATGAGATTTGTTACGATCAGATTGGCAGAGCACAAACTGTTGGATTGTATCAAATCTTCTCCCCCATCCTAGAAATCAATACTGTTGGCAGAAGCAAATTAAACATGGGAAATCTCAGGTTCATTGCACAGAGCAACACTCTGCACGCAAGAATGTAGAATGTCACTTCACTTATTATTTGGCTGAGTCACATACATATACTACACTAATGGGGTATTGCATTTTGATAATTATTCAGATTCCTTTCCTTACCCCTTCTTTATTTTAGCTTCTTTATTTTAGCTCAGAATAATAATATTAAGTTGAATTCTAATATAGATGCTTGTGATGGCTTCCAATTTATTTATTTTCCAGTTTTGAGGCTGTCTGACTCCTTAATAGCTTTGGGCTGCTTACAAGTATAAAACAAAAATTGTACATATAAAAAGAAATGTGCTTTCCAATTGAAAGCACAGTACAACTAGTCACAAAACCAAAGATAGCTAAAGGGGATTCCGTATTCATCCTATTCCAAAATTTCTGGCAACAACTATGCTTTTAATGATTTCTTAAAGGATAAGGACATATGTTTGAACATACTTTTTAAACACTTCTATATAATGGACAGTATTGAATGACATTATAATATGTCATTTATACATCAATTATATGTTGACAGCTACAAAATATTTCAACCAGAAATCTGTATGGCTCCAATTCTAATGATGTTTTGAAAAATGTGAAAACTTTTGCTGCTTCCTCCCTGGGAACAGAATGGTTGTTGAAACTCACATTTTGTGATGTGTGTGTGTGTGTGTGTGTGTGTGTGTGTGTGTGTTGTTTTTTTGGAAGAGGGAGAGAATCACAAACTACCCAGAACCTCTAAATTTAATTACACACACACACAAACATATATACAATTTGAGGAATGTTCTTAATGAGGCCATAAAAGTTTATCAGATTAGTATAATTACTATGAAAAAATAAAGTATCCCTCACTATCACAAAGTTCATTAAGACTGCTGTTAGACATAATACTTATCCAGTGATGGGATTCAAATAATTTAACAACCGGTTCTCTGTCCTAATGACCAGGTGGGTGGGCGGGGCTTAGTGGTCATGTGACCATGTGGGCATGGCCAACTCAACATTACTCAAGTCGATGGGCACTTTGCCTTAGCTGTTACAATGTAATAAGGGTTAACCGGAGACACAGTTTCTGTAAGCAGGACAATAAAGATTAAGCTAGAAACAACACCAGAATGTTTCCTTCCTGCCTTCCTTACAGGATTAGCCCTGTAAAGCCAAAAACCAAAAGATTTCTTCCAATAACCGGTTCTCTGAACCTCTTAGAAAGTTAAGAACTGGTTCTCCCGAATAGGTGCTAACTGGCTGAATCCCACCACTGTACTTACCCCATATGCTTTAATTGGATATCTGCTAATACAAATTTGTCTAATCCCACATTTAGGCTTTAAAAAAAGTTTTCATTAGTTACACTATGTATTTTTTACAAACTTAACAACATCTGGTTGTAATTTTCCCAGCTTGTTATACATTTGCCCCCTTTTTTATTAATCTAAGTGGGTTTACACTCTGACTACTTTAAATGCCATACTGTGCTTTCTTGAGTCAAAATATTTCTCAATGTCTTTCCCAGGGTGAAAAGAACTTAATATTGAAGTAAGCTAACAAACAGGAAAGACATAAAGTAGAAAAGATTTAATCATGTTTCAATGAAGCAATCCTTTACTGAAACTTGGCCCTAATACAGATAGCTATCCCAATTCTTACTCTAGCTCTTAATCCCAATGGTATCATAAACCTAAAGCAACCAATAACTACTCAGCTGCTTAAGCTTTGAATCAAACATTGCATCCTAATTGCCAGCTAACTGGAAAGATGGGATAACTTTCCTGCAAGACCTATTCTTCTAAGGGCTCCTGAAGAAGATTCTTGATAGACCGCCATCAACTAGGCTGAACCTCTTGGCTCCCTCTAATCCCATGTTTTATGAAACTTGGCAACTTTAAGATGTGTGGACCTAAGAAGGTCCAGACATCTTAAAGTTGCCAAGTTTGAGTTCCGAATTCTGAATTTCCCAGCTAGCATGTTTCTGAAACCTGGCAACTTAAATGCTGTGGACTTGGCAGAAGAATTACAAATTTCTAAAATTTGCAAAGTTTGAGAAATAGTGGTCCAATTTATCCAGCTGGATAGTTTTTCTTACCAGACATCTCTCCCTTCAGACCAGCTCTAGAAAAATGGAAAGAAAGATGCTTTGGATCTTATTGTCCAGAAATAAGAATTTAACAACTCTTCTGCCAATTCTGAAGTACCAGGGATAGCTGTAAAGCCGTGAAAAATTAAATGAAGTGTTTCTTTTTTTAAAGCCAATGAAGCCAAATCTCCAGTTATAAAAACTTCATTAGGAAATAGGAATATAAGAAAACCTAGAGAAAAAAACCAAAAACCTCACAATTCAGAGGTCCAAATAAAATCAATATACCCAGCCTAATTTAAACCTGGTACTGTCTGCTTGAATACAATCTTGGGATCGAGCACGTAGTCAGAGTTCATTGCAGGGTGGCTAGCTGGAAAAAGTTAATTTGGACCTACTGTTTAGATGTTAATAGGCCTTCTTTGCTTCTTCTGCCTTGAACAAGCATCTTCAGCTTTAAAGTTTGCATTGAAAGTAGGTCTTTGGGAGAAACTAAGAATGGCTCATCCAATGCTGATGACCTGTCTTTAGTTAGCAAATAACAAATTGTTTAGCAATTGAACCAGTGGTGGGATTCAAATAATTTAACAACCGGTTCTCTGCCCTAATGATTTCTTCCAACAACCAGTTCACCAAACTACTCAGAAAGTTAACAATTGGTTTTACTGAATCCCATCACTGAATTGAGCCCATTTTCTTATGAGTCCAGATGGAATGATAAAGGTGCAGGTTATTCTGTTATGATATAGATATAGATATAGATATAGATATAGATATAGATACACACACACACACACACACACACACACATATATGATTACATGGGAGAAAATAATGTATGAATTTCATCTATTCAGGGATGTCAGGATGGATCAGCTTATCAAATGCTTTAAGGGGCATTGTTGTACTGCACCAAAAACTAGGATGTTCTTGTAGCATCCAAACTACATAGCAGTACTTACTGTTGTATACATCTTCATTATCTAAATATTTTAAAATTCTAAAATTCTTATATACTATATTAAAGAAAACCATTAATGAAGAGTTTGTTAGCTCTTCTTGGGACAGTTCCAAAACTAAGAAGGCTACTTCCATGCCTCAATGTCTATCAGACCGTGATGAAAAATGCAAGCAACAGGCAACTTCTCACAGAATATTTCCCTTCATTGTTGATCAATAAGTCTGATAATGGCAATATTTTTGTCAGTATGTAAAGTATTTCCCCTAAAGAATTTGTGTGATGCAGGTTGAAAGAGTCATCAGCAAGGATAGCAGCTGTAAGAGGTGAATGCAACAAAAGCAGAATGCAGACAGACCAACCAGGAGCAAATACAATTACATTTCTATAGGCATAATTTCAACTCAATAAGTGGCTAAAGTGATACCGAATACTTGTATACCGAAAGACATGAACACCCTATAAAATAAAAAAGCTAAGTTCAAAAAATATATTGCCACTAAAACACACACATGAAGGAAACCAAGTAAAATTTATTGCTTGACTTGTGCAATTTTGAGCGAGAAAATAATGGTTTTTGACATGATACAGTAATGCAGACTTTCATAGCCATGTAATAGAACAGAATTAAAAAATCATGAATGGGGTATTTATTTTGTCATATTTATTAAGCCAGTTGCTTAGTAAAACAGGTCATTGACAAGATGTTTTTGATTTTTTACTTCTGTCAGCACACAGTTAATATTACAAATACATAGAGCATGTGGGATCCATAAAGGAAGCTTGCCCACTCTATAAGCAATCAAATACCTGTTGTTCTCTCATTCTGATTTTCATTTGATCAAGTTCAGTCTTCCATTGCTTTCCTTGCTTACAGACACCTTACAGTTCAGCAGCAATCCTTAGGGAATTTGTTTTTATGCTTTATTTGGTTGTGAATCAGGAGTAATTAGAACAATGCAGAGCATTTGTATTAATTACGTGGAAACTAATTTTAAATCTGTTCTGTATTTGGGTATGTCAATATGTTTTAATATTTTTATTTGAGTCTTATTGGAGAAAATGCAATGTAAATAAAAGAGTTTATTTAGCTCATAATCAAAAGCACTGTAATTATAGCAGAATAACACCAAGGAACAAGTTGATACATCATCATACTGTATCTGTTCCTGAAGATAACAGAAAAGATGAACAAGACACTAAGGAGAGTTCAGTGCTCAATGAATTTGTTGGTATTTTATGTATGATTTAACTTTAAGGGGGTGGGGGAAACCAATCCTAGGACTTTTACCTTTCTGTTTACATCACTAGTTCTATTTAAACATCCAAATTATTACTTTGGATGGTAATCCCACTTTCTTTGGCAATACCATGCTTCATAATTTCTTAGAGACAGCCAATGAGAACACTTGATCCACAAATATTGTACCATATTTCTGGACACAGAATGAGAGATAAGAAATAGCAACATTTAACCCTTTACTGTGCAGAAAGATAGCTTTCAGCACATAACAATGTAAGACAAGTGCCAAAAATGCATCTTATATGACATAATACTCTTACATTATCTCTCTTGATTATAATAAATGATCAGGGCAGAAGATATCCAAAAAACAATTGACCTCAGAAAAGGAAATAGAGCCTCTTTTTTCAGAGTCTGTCTAAGTTTACTTAGACTACTCAGCATAATTCCAACATGCTGTTTTAAACTTTGCACTGAGTAACTCTGTAACTGAGTGGCCTTCTTATTAGGAATCGCAGGCTTGTATAAACAAAACAAAGTCCAGAAAGGGGGCCATGTCACAAGGAGGGAGCAAAGGCCCTTCGGCAGAAGCAAGGATTATCAGGGAACACAAAACACATGAAGACGGTGGTTTTGGTAGGCCTACATTAAAAAAATCTGCTTGTGTTTGCTAGGCCATGGGATATACTCTAGGAGGGTTTCTGAGCAAGGTGCCTGCCTGGTTTCTTTTCACTGGGATTTTCCTGCCCGTAACTTTACTTCTGTTACTGCTCATTGCCTACCTCCGGATCAAGCTGAAAGAAGGTAAGTCGGTCAACATTGCAGGAATCTAAAAGGTGAACAAGAAGACAGCAATATCATAATATAGAAGGCTTTGCTTTATATATTTATATAAAGTTACATATCAGTTAGGACCGAATAGTTCAAATTGCCTGTTAAATACCCCCTAAATGCTAAATACCACTACGTTACTTGTAGTTATGCTGAATACACTCCAGCATAGAGTAGCCCTTCTGATAAGGTATGCTGATACCTACAGTGCCTTCATACTTGACTGCTGGGACTGGTGATTGGAATTGATGGAAGTTGGAAGAGAGTGGTGAAAAAAATGTTTTATCCATCCTCAAACTATCTTTTTCGAACCCTTTGCCTCATGTCCATTTTCTGTTTTGAGATCTACTGAAAGAATTTGACTAATGTAATATCAAAGTGTTTTTCTGAGATGTGAACTTCATTATTTCTCTCATTTATTTCAATTCTACGCTTCATTTTAGCCTCCAAAACAGGGGTGAAATTCACCAGGTTTTGACAGGTTCTGGAGAACCGGTAGTGGAAATTTTGAGTAGTTCGGAGACCCGGAAAATATCACCTCTGGCTGGCCCCAGAGCGGGATGGGAATGGAGATTTTGCAATATCCTTCTCCCAGGAGTGGGGAAGGAATGGCGATTTTGCGGTATCTTCGCCTGGAGTGGGGTGGGAATGGGAGTTTTGCAGTATCCTTCCCCTGCCACAGCCACCAATCCACGCCCACAGAACTGGTAGTAAAAAAATGAATTTCACCACTGCCCCAAAGCTAAAAAGTAATCTAATCACAACTGTTCCCATCGTTTAAGATGGGAACTAAGATAGACATAGTGTGATTCTATTTATCATAGGCATTGTGGAACTTTTATCTAAACTGCCTCCGATGCACTATACAATAGCAGAGCTGGAAGGGACCTTGGAGGTCTTCTAGTCCAACCCCCTGCCTATGCAGGAAACCCTATACCAGACAGATAGCCAACATCTTCTTAAAGACTTCCAGTGTTGGGGCATTCACAACTTCTGAGGCAAGCTGTTCCAGTGATTAATTGTTCTAACTGTCAGGAAATTTCTCCTCAGTTCTAAATTGCTTCTCTCCTTGATTAGTTCCCACCCATTGCTTCTTGTTCTATCCTCAGGTGCCTTGGAGAATAGTTTGACTCCCTCTTCTTTGTGGCAACCCCTGAGATATTGGAACACTGCTATCATGTCTCCCCTAGTCCTTCTTTCTCTTAAACTAAACATACCCAGTTTCTGCAACCGTTCTTCATATGTTTTAGTCTCCAGTCACCTAATCATCTTTGTTGCTCTTCTCTGCACTCTTTCTAGAGTCTCCACATCTTTTCTACATCGTGGCGACCAGAACTGAATGCAGTATTCCAAGTGTGGCCTTACCAAGGCATTATAAAGTGGTATTAACACTTCATGTGATCTTGATAAAATAAAATAAAAATGTTTTTCTTTAATAAGTTAAATATTCAATTTAGCCCCTTATATTTTATCAGAAGGGTTCTCTACTTAATTGTGTCTAATTGGTCTTCTTGGCACTCAACGCCTGCAAATGTTTTTATTCTTTTCAGTGAACAAGCAATTGTCTCTGGCCAATGATCCCACAGATATTGTCTTCCAATACTATGCCAAACGCAGCAAACTGAAGAATTCAAAAAGAAAGAAAGATCATCAGTAAGAAGATGACAATTTCTTTAGAGAATGTCACTTTGGACGGTGGGTTCAGCTTCAGCTATTTA